GCCGCGCTCCTCCCGCCGCCCCTTACCAGGTGCCGCCCCAAGCACGTGCTTGGGTGCCTGGTGCCTGGAGCCGGCCCTGGCCACGTTTAAGAACTTGCTTTGTAAACATGGAACTGGCTTATTGTGACTGTGCTGTAAAGTTGTTTGTGTCTGGATGTCTTTATGTGTTTTTCAATTTTTATTCTGTTTTGCACATCTAAGCTGCCACAGACTGCTATTTCTAAACAGCTTAATTTATCACTAAATTTTTTAAAGAATGTTGCTAGGTTTTGATTTTCTCCTTTATCCTTGTCCCTATCCCCCTAGTTCTCCATGATACTTAGGAAATTGTTAGCAGGCAGAGAAAGTTCACTAGCCAATTCTTTTACTAATGATTCACACGAACAGATCTGGCCAAGTTTTCCCGGGTCTAGTTCCTTGTTCAAGAGACAATACAGCCAGTCTCAGGGCTGTCAGCAAGTATAACAAGCATATATTTATTCAAATAAGGTAATAAAGTTGGTGTTGCAAATTATCAGTTTTGTCTAACATTTTGTTAAAATTCTTCCATTTTCACCTCTGGAGGGGATAGTATGTTGCACGGATGGTAGTAGCCTGTCTGGAGTTGTTGGTTCCAGCATTTCTCAGACTGAGTTCTTGGGCACAAAGTCCCCAAACTTGCAAACACTTAAGTGCCCTAGGTAAGAGTTTGCCAGGATCAGGGCCAAAGTGAGAATCTTCTACTGAGCATGTGTGAAATTAAAATAAACAAATAAAAAGATGAAAACAACATTGTAACAACTCCTGCTTCTAAGATGTGTGCAACCTTGCACCCATCTGGGAGCAAGTGTTCAGACCTCATACAGGAGGTATGCCATATTTATGATCTGCTGTATCATTTACAACTTGTTGGGGGTTTCCCCCCTACTCCTTTCTTTACTGGATCAAAACAATAACCACTCCTGTGCACCGCATTGTAAAAGTTATAACTATATAATTCATTCTGAAAATAAAGTGTCTGGATTAGTTAATATAGACTGAGGTAAACGACTCAAATTAGTCTACAATTACCTAGAAGTAATTCATAAGAAAAATATTTATTTTCATTTTCAGATTTTCATTTTTTTGTGTTAAATTCTTGGGTTACAGCAAAAGGAATCTAACACACTACCACAGTGACATATAACTAAGCCATAACATTGCAATATACCAAAATTGTGTAAACAAAAAGCCTTTCCATACTGGTACTCTCTGTGGGCCAGATTCTGACCTACAGAATCCCACTGAAGTCAAAAGGAATACTTATGAAGCACAGGCATACCCAATAGGAGTCAGGGTTTCAGCACCTGGCCCTGTAGTGCTGGGATAACACTGATCCCCTTTTTATATTTGATCAGGGGGGAAATGCCTGCAGCCAGTTTTTAAAGAGATAATTTAACCTTGGATTGGTTCACACATCCATCCTGCACAGGAAAATATTATTCTTATTGCCTAGTTCAAACTCAAAGTAAACTATGTGGACCAAAGTCTTGCATCATTTATACCCAATGCAACCCCATAGGATTTTGCTAGAGGATAAGAGAATAGGACTCTGGAACATTATTGATCTTTTAGTATGAGGCATGTACCTGATATTCATTTGGAAGCAAATATTAGTTCATTGAACAAAAATGCAAAATCCAAGATGCTCCACTGAAGTTCTTCTTCTGGGGCCCAGGTACTAAGTATTATTCCCTCTGCATGGAAGCACGAGCCACCTGCACCATCTCTGGACCTATGTCAGGCAATAGATGTCTAAGAGAGAGTTTAGCACATTTTGATGGTAAGTAAACTAGCAGTTCCTTAGATTAGGTCTAAAACCGCAACTTGTGGCAACATTTAGTGAGTCAGAGAGAGAGTGCAAGAAGCTAAAGAAAGGGGGATATTTTGTTTTTCTGTAATGAAATAAACAGGACATGTGCACTTAATATCTATCTCCAATTTGATGTATATTATAATAAGGCAACATAAGTACTGTAAAATCTAAGAGATTATTTGAATTGGAAATATAGTCCATTCAAAAACTATTTTAGCTACTAATACTTAAAATCTACCAGTTGAATATAAACATCTTTGACAATGTACCAGACATTAATTACAGAGCAGATTGGTTTGTATGGTTTCACCTGCTGTGTTTTGGATAGCATTCAACAAGATTTTTCTCTTCATAGAAGAGGGTGGGTCTGGTCCCACCGCCCTTACTCGTATGTAACTTCCTATTGAAGTCTAAGGGAGTGTTGCCTGTCTCAAAACTGCGGGATTGGATCCTAAAACAGTAACGTACAGATGGCGTCTCATTAAAAAATACTGGAAAACTGGAATACAGTGATAGATAATTACAAGGTGATATTTTTAGTTAAAAAGTTACAAAGTTACAAACTTGTTTGCTTTAAAAAAAAAGCCACACACAGTTAACACAAACTATTAAAAAGCCACATAAATTCTTGCCCTTTACATGTTTGGCAAAATCAAAATCTTGGAGTTTGCATATACCCATGCTTTAGTACTTTTCAAATGAATTAGTTCAGAACAAGAACATATCTCAGAAGCTGTATAGATCTACTGTACAGACTCATTCAAGTAGCACAGTTGTTGCTTCGTAGTGACAGGTGAATGGTAGTATCAAGCATGGACTATCATTTGATTTTATTTAATTTTAAAGATGTCTTCAGTCCACAAGTACACTTTTCATTAACCAAAAAAAACTGTCTTTTTATTATTTCTTTGGAGGAAGAACATTTTCTTCATAGAAACCTGGATTTACTACATTTCCAGGTGGATCGTATCTGGCCACCACAAATGTGGAGCCATCATTTGCTGTGGCTTTTCCAACTCCCATCTTCTTTGTGTTCTTCCAAACCATTGCTGTAAAGTGACCTAAGAGGAAAAAGGTCAAATAAACACATTAACTTTGGACAACAAATCTGAAAAATTATTTCTAGTGATTGAGCAAAAACAAGTCACACCAAACTAAGTTAGTTTCTTTCTCTGACAGGATAACACGCCTAGGGGGTGAAAAAGAAAATGCAGCTGATCTAATAGTTTGTCTTTAGAAAGACAGCCAACATGGTTCTCCACTGCACTCATGAGCTCCTTACTCTGTTCCAAAACCAAAATACATAGGAAAAATTATGTGAAAACAACCAGGCCTGGATGAACATCAAGTACAAAAGCCCCAGATCCAAGGCCCTGGGTACACACCATACCATGTGCAACAATGATCCCAGCCCCGTCACTCCCAGCAGTATGGCTGACAAAGTAACCATCCTACCACTGATTGTTCCCCACCTGCTTCAACGTTCTGATCACCCCGATTATGTTTCTATGGTGCACAGAATAAGTTAATAGCATTAGTGAAACATTAACTTCCCAGGCTTTTTTCTAGTCCCTTCTGACAGTTATGGAGTAGCAGTCTCTCAAAACCTACTCCACCAGCTGTTCCCTCTATGCACAGTTACAGATAAATGAAACTTTCCTATGAAAAAAGAACAGGAGTACTTGTGGCACCTTAGAGACTAACAAATTTATTTCAGCATAAGCTTTCGTGGGCTACAGCTCACGTCTTCGGATGCATAGAATGGAACACAGACAGAAGGTATTTATACATACAGAGAACATGAAAAGGTGGTTCCAAAAATTTGGCCCCAATTTACACTCTAGGTAACCAGGGCTGGCTCCTGCTTTTTTGCCGCCTCAAGCGGTGAAGCAAAAAAATAAAATAAATAAAGCCGCAATTGGCGGCACTTCGGCGGCAGCTCTACTGCGCCGCTTCATTCTTCGGTGGCAATTCGGTGGCGGGTCCTTCGAGACGGACTAAGGGACCCTCCGCCGAATTGCAGCCGAAGACCCGGATGTGCCGCCCCTTTCCATTGGCCGCCCCAGGCACCTGCTTCCTTCGCTGGTGCCTGGAGCCGTCCCTGTAAGTAACACCTCATTGACATCAATGGGATTAGATGGTACGAGAGGTAAACCAAGGCAGACATCAGCACAGTATCTTTAATTAAACAGCTGTATAGTTTCTATTATTACAATTTTGATATTTTGTGGGAAATAAAGTGCATTTGTCCTCAAAACCAACACCTTTTAATACTGATGGTTGAAGGAAAAAGACTGTAGAATTTTTTAAAAATATATCTACTTTGTTTCTAATACAAATTTTGTTTACTTTCTCATTCCCCTCAGAGTCACAGTTTCCTTTTATCTTTCCAGTTATTGTCATTTTCCTGAGAGCAATTCTAACATTGGTCTTTTATACACACACACACCTTAATTTTTTTTTAAAAGCTGATTTTTGAAAAATAGTGAGAAAGTAGATTTAACAACTTTTTAAAGTAAGAGCTGCATCTTTGAAGGAGCAGTGCCCAGCCTGAGCTCACCTGTCCCAGAAGAAAACCCCGGATTTTGAAAGCTGTAATTTTTTATTTCAGCGTACCATCTTTCAGCTACTTCCTTTCCTGCAAGACAAAAGAAATGATGCTGTGGATTTGCAACAAACAGAGTGAACTCAGCAAACTGCAACTCACATCTCCCTGCCCACAAGATTCTTCTGTTAATAGATCAGCAAGAACTGTTGATGCTTAAATGGAGTCATATAAACATGGAATGAGTAACAATTTTAAGCTACTTCTTGAATCAAGAGAAGTTCTTAGTTACAAGTGGCCTTCCCGCCCCACTCCCCAATTACCATCATACTCAAATATAGCATTCCATTATAAAAGAAACTAGAGCAAGAAAAGAGAAACAGAGTGCTGATGGATGCTTTCTATAACAGAAGAAAACCCTAGGCCCTTTATGAGCAACAGCAGCGGAAAGAGACATGAAAGGCCACACCCTAAACAGGATGATGTACTTTCAGAGAGAATTAAAATTAAAAACCACAAACCTACCCAAAAGGATGAGCACCAAAGTGAGGTTTCAGAAAGATTAACTCATCCTGTTGGTTGATGGCATGTACAGTAAAATTATCCACTGTCTGTATTATTTACACAGATCACGATAAGTTAAGGATGAAGTGCTGGTCTTTTACAGAGGGGTTTCTGCTCGGGGATTTGTGGACAGGATGCCACAAAGGCACTGCTCCCACCTCCCCCATTTCCACATTTCTGGGTGATTTCTAGTCTTATTTATTCCCTGTGGTCCAAATAGCAGAGGGCAGTATGATTATTATTACACCTGGCAAATTTAACCACCAAATAAAGCAGAGATACCCCTTCCCCATTCCCACCAAAAACCCCAGTAGTAATCCAAGCCTGGCAAATTTATAACCCCTCAAAATTGGAAAACATGAAAAAATAGAAAAGCAATAAATCAAAAGCAATGATAATATTTGGTCCCAATATAAAGCAGTTACCAGCAGCTTTAAGGTAATGCATTCACTGGGAAGACTTAATTTCCCTGAAATCTTTCAGGCAATTTCCTCTGTCTCAATGAACTTCGGCTAGAGAAAAATATGAAAAGGCTTGCAGTTCAAATTATTGGGCCCTCTCTGGATGGCAGGTGTGATCCAAGAACCTCTTGGTGTCCATTGGCAGAGGGCGCAGGGGTTCACCAAAGCAGGTCAGATAAAATCTTTGCTGAAAGCCTGTGTCACAGTGGTCATCAAATCATTGTGAAATATATGGGCAGACTGTATTAATATATACTGAAAATTATATTCATAAGGCCTTGTAGTTAAAGGCTGGTCACTTAGAGGTAGTGTGCACTGAGACAGACTTCTCCAGACAGGAGGTGGGAGATGACCATTGTGAATCTTACAAAGGAAGTCTTTCAATCAGACTGCGAGTGCTGCAGGAAAAAACAAAACCAGCAGGGGTTATCCTGTTTATGAGTAAAGACAATGAACTTTGGGGGGCAAAACTGGGGGTATGGAGGTACATCAGGTATCCTTCAATCTGTGAGGACACGCTGCTAGCTGTATTGATCTTATGAAAAAGTGTCTCAGCCATTCTGGTTAAAAAGGCTGGGGAAAGGACTTAGGGGAAGCTAACCTGTATGAGGCAGGGCTATTCGTCTTGTGTGTTATAGGCTGCACCAAGCATATTATAGTTTTGTTTTACATGTTACCAGTTGTTTCCAGTATTCTTTCTTACTATCATTCGAATCTCCGTTCTTTGATGACAAACTTGCTTTCACTATAAATGTATCTAAGTTCTGTGTGTTAAGTGGAGTGGTGATCCTGAGGTGAAACTAGTAAGCTGCTGTGTACTATTCCTTTGGGAGTAGCCAACCTGATAGTTCTGTGAGTGTTCAGTGGAATAGGGGCTGGGCACTGCAGAGGTATGCACAGAGGACTGGGGATTGGTGTGTGCCTATTGCTAATCCATACAGAGAGAGTGAAGCCTATGGAGGCCTGGAAGGCAGTGCTTGTGTTGCCAGAGGCTGGTGGAGTCATGGAGCTCATCCACACCAGGCACAGACAAGACTTCCTCATGCTAAGGGCAGGTGGCAGCGAGGTGCCTCACAACCCTGGGTACCCTGGGAAGCATCACAGCAGGTCCACTCCAGAAGTCAGTCAGGAAAAAGTCACAGAGAGTCAAGAAGGTTCCTCCATCCACCACCAAAGAAAAGGCAGTTGAAGGAAAGAAGGAGCCACTTGAGACTCTACAACAAAATTCAAAGCAGGACTCCCCTGCAGTATTCTTTTGATCAGGGCTCAACACACACACCACACACATACACACACACCACACACACACACACATACACACACACACACATTGTAAGCACTGAACTTACCGATACTGTGCCTGTGCTGTACAGTTTGTATTGTGTGTGTGTTTTTCAATGCTGCCTGTTTTGCAGTCAATCCCTGACCCCAGCGTTTTAATTCTATACAGCTCCTGCACCATTTGGAGAACATCTATTCGGTCCAATTTTCTTGTTAACCTTCTGATACAGTCAATTACTACAGCTGCTCTTCTAAATTTTTTGAATGAGTTATTAAAGACACTAGACCCGATTCTCCAGTGCTGTGCAGGTGCTTGGGGCCACCTGGAAAGAATCGTCTTGCTCTAAAGCAGGGTAAGTGAACCAGGGAAGATCAGGTCAGTGCGAGGGTAATCCTCTGGTGGGACAGAGCTGAGGTAGAGAGTCCTGCACCATTCCCTTTCCCTACTGCAAGTAGATTAGGGAAAAGGGGACATGGCAAGACACCCCTGTGATACATCAATCTTTGGCTGCAGTTAAAATCCCCGGGGCCATTTGTTAGAGTAGCCTTCAGTTCACAGGGACTAGCCCTGCATAAAGCCAGCACCAGGATCAGGGAGGTAACAATGTGAGCTTTAAGCTACCCTGGCTGACACACCTGAGCTGTGCTGTTCACCTCCACCCCAGGAGCTATCTGACCAGAACCACATTTCAATCGCTGTTTTTACTGTTTACCATCTTCTGCTATTTTAATCCATGTTTGTCCCGCAATAAAATTAAGAAACTTTGATTATACTACACAAATCCTTAGAACACAAAAAATGACCCAGGCAAGCTCTGTCTTGAGTTAAGAGTTTTATCATTTGTTAGTAACACTACATAGTGCTTTGTTAATGTTTATAGCCCTGTGATCTGTTTATTCCCAGCCTTGGCAGAACAAGGCTTGCAGTTTGTTGGAGCTCAGAGGTTTTATATGAAACAGATTGTGTTTAATGGGGCTAACTGATCATTGACTTATATACCATGTAGTTCCACTAAACTCTATGGGAGTGCATGGAGCAAGGCTGGCCTAGGTGTTTTCCACCCAGGGCGGAAAATGTTTTTGGCGTGCACACACACATACAAGCAGATCAACTGAGAAAAAAGTTGGCATCCAACTTGCCTGCCTCAAAGGCTGGCTTTGAGTTTATGTAAGTGATGAATTTGGCTCTATTTTCTTTCTTTGTTTTGGGGGAGGAAGGGGTAAGCTGTTGAGGATGGAAAGTTTATTTGCTCTTCTGTTTACTGTCAGGTTCTTTTGCGTCTGCAACTTTGAGGAGGCCAACAGCCATTTCATTTTGCTTCTCTGCCATGAGGGGCGAATCCTGCAAATTCACCATTACTTCCTGACAGTTGTTAACTGATGGAATTCAAAATGGGAGTTGAGGGTGCTTTGCACCCCTCAGGAACCAATCGAGAACTTGCAGGATCAATAAATTGAGAGTGTCCTGGGGGACTTGCAAACTCAGGTCGTAGGGAGTCTAGCTGTATTTTGGGTGGCTTCCAAGGGTACTAACTGAGTTTTGAGCTGCCTCTCCACACCTCTGCATTTAACTGGGAAGATCCTGAACGCTGCAATCCCACCCTGGAGATTACAACTCCCATAATGCCTTGGGGAAGGGAGAAAGTCATCCTCTCCCAGAGAGCGCAGGGGGAGCGTGTGGTGGGCTCCATTTTTGGGAGAGGACCTGAGATTGCTTTTGTGGATCTCTGTCCATACCAGGAGCTGCTGCTAACCTGCTGCCAGGAAGCCAGAAGCTACTACTGAGAGCCTGCTGCGGCTTTGACCAAACAGAGAGCCTCAGAGGTGGTTGGTGGCTTCACTGGAGCCAGGGAAGAGACTGTTACTGTTCCTGGAGCTGACTGAGGTGGGCCTGAGGTGAAGGCAGTGTGCGAGTAACCACGAGCCTGGTTTGGGAAAGCACTTGTACGGGAAGGGGCACAGCAAAGAGACTCTAAGGGGTGGTCTGAGAAGAGGCAGAGTGATCTTCTCATCGAACAAGAACCAGGGTTACTGACATTTGGTTAAAACAATCTTCAGAGGGGTTGTGCAGCTTGTTGCCTTGGCTGGACGGATTCACTGGATCAAGAGAGTGCTATCTCCAGTTTCAAGATCTCCAAGCACGCCCACGCAAGCGTTGAGAACTCTGAAATCCAGAGGAATGTCCACTCCGGGGAGGGGTAAATGGTGGCAGAGTAAAGGCAAGTTAGATAAGTTTTTTTGTTTTTGTTTTTTTAAGAGAAGAGAAGGGAAGGGAAAAGGGTACCTAACTAATACTGGTAAGCTAAACTAAGAGGGAAAAAAGTTGAACAAGGGAGAGAAGAAATTCTCTAACGAGTCTGCTGAGCTCTGTCTCAGGCCGGGGACGGTAGAGAAGGAACTGAGGAGACCGGTCGTGCACACATACTATTAAGTACACTCGGGGAGGGGGGGGCAGGCTCTGCGCGTGCTTGACCGGTACAAGTACTGCTGTAAAAATCTCCGAGCGAAGGTGCAGGGACACACCAACACCTGGAGTGGAGCACCCACAGGGACATCGCTCGAAGAAGAAAGGTTTTTTTAAACATAATTATGATAATTTATGCGGCACCATAGATGAATATCACTCTGTATACAAGGAAAAGTTTATCAAATAAATAACCCTGCTCTAATTTATGGTTTCATGATCTAGTTTCCCAGTCAATTCATCTGTAATAAGTAAGGCAGAACAGAAAATACTGAAAGCAGGGGCTCCAAACACAATTTGCAGATGCAAAGCACTCTTTCTGA